CTGGCCAATCCCTAGGCAGAAAAAAAACTAACCAATCACTGGTTGACTCTGCCCCAAGACATCCTATATAAACTGCCCTGCCTGGTCAGTTGTGGGCTGTTCTCTCTACCCTGGTAGAGGTAGCTAGTCTCCTGGACTCCTCCTTCCCAAATAAATCTCTTTCTCAAAAGAGTATTGGGGGTGTGAAGATCTTCATTCACTGGTGTAGAGAAGATCTTTGCTAAGACATCCCTCAGTGGACAGAGTAAGGAGGAGCTAAACAGAAGATCCTTGCTGAGAAGTCTCTCAGTAGACAGAGCAAGAGAGAGCTGAAAAAGTAACATTTCTCCAGAGCCAGAGGCGGTTGCTACATTTCTGCAGGGGTTTCCCCTTTTGCAGAGTGAAGCAAAAGAAGCAACATCTTAGGCTGGAGAAGTAGAGCTCTGCTAGGAAGCCTCCTTTAGTGGATGCTGAGCGGCTCTCCAGGAGAGAAGCAGGATTGCTATATCCTGTGGGGAGACCATCCCCTATCACACCAGGTATAGCTTGACTCTCCCGAACAGTCAGGATACCCTTCCTTGCAAAGCTGTCCTGGCAGCTCCAGGCCTGACTTTCCTGAATTGTCAGGATATCCTTCCTGCTGAAGCACTTCCAGCCCTGACTCTCCAGAGCAGTGAGAAAAATTTCCCTTCCAGGGCTGAGCTGCTTCTTTGCTGTCCTAAGCAGCTCCAGGTGTCTGGGATACCTCCAGGGTAGAGCTGCCCTGAAGCAGTTCCAGGTGTCTGGGATGCCTTGCCCTCCAGGGTTGAGCTGTCTCTTTGCAGCTCCAGCCGTCAGAGCTGTCCTAAGCAGCTCAAGGTGTTGCCTGACTCCCCAAGTAGTCAGGATACCTTTCCCCAGAGTTGCAAAACTCACATTTTGGTGCCAAAACCTGGGACCAAACCCAAAAGAGTTGCAACATAATTACTTATAGTCCAAACCAGAGAAAACTGGGTTATGATGTAGTTATTTCATGAACAGTTTGTACCTACCATGGCTACATGAAACTATGTATTTTTGGAAATTTGGCTTCAACATGAAAGATGTTGAAGAAAATCTGAAATGTGAGTATTAGTTATACAAAAGAACCAAGAGCAAAACCCTGCTTTCCTTCAAAAAAAGAAGCTATGAACTCCAGTTCTCATTCCTCTTCACTCTATTTTGTTGCTTCTTATCTAAGAAAATAATTCTTCATGGAATCTTCAAAATAAATTATAATGGCACAAACCTACATGATACATAGAAGCTAGATTGTTCAATATGGGCAGAAGTAAATCCCCATCTAAGTCTTTCTTACTTGTTGAGTATTTCTTACTTAAAATGCTTGGGATAAGAAGTGTTTTGATATTTTTCAGATTTCAGATAATGTGTATATGTATAAAGTGAGAAGTCTTGGGTCTAAAAACCAAGCCTCAACACAATATCCATTAATGATTCATATATACTTCATAAACCATATGAAGGTATTCTCATACAATTTTTCTCTTTTTGACTAACATATCTTATGACATCAGCTGTGGAATATTCCACTTGCAGCAAGCATCATGTCACTGCTTCAAAAGTTTTGAACATTGGAGCATTTCAGATTTCTAAATTAGTAATGCTTAATTTTGTACTTAATCATGTAATGTATTAGGTGGCATTTTGCAGATTGAGATTAAAGGATCTGGAATAAGAATGTGTAAACTCAAAAAAAAAAAAAAAGAATGTGTAAACTCGGATCCTGGCTCAACACTGTACCGGCTGTATGTGTAATTGGGACAAAAGCATGAACCTCATCATGCCCATCTGTAAAATAAGGGTGGAGGGGAGTCATCAACAGTGTTAACCAAGGTTTTTTTTTTTTTTTCTGGAGCTGAGGATCGAACCCAGGGCCTTGTGCTTGCTAGGCAAGTGCTCTACCACTGAGCTAAATCCCCAACCCCATTAACCAAGTTTTGAGCTACAATAATGACCAGCACTGTAAGATACACCAATGGCACAAATATTATGGAGGTAACCCATCACTTTCCAATTGAATTTAAGACCTACTCCACAGGAGGAAACACATGCCTGGTACTATAACTCTGACTAAGAACCCATGGAGGTGGAGCTTACAGGACCCTGGGGTAAGCCAACTCCTATTATTCTGCTAAAGGGACACAGCCCTCTAAATTCACATCTTTATACCCATAGATTAGTGCAGCTCTCCCATCTCCAGAAAAGTTTCTTTGTGTAGTGGATGGTGGTGAACACAGAAACTCACAACTGGTCAAACTGCAGAAAATAAGTATCAGAGAAGCGCTCAGCCTTAAGTAGGACATCCGTATCATACCTCTCTCCCAAGACTCGTGGACTATGGGAGGAGAGAGGACAGAAGGCTTGTAAAGACTGGATCGAAGCAGTTTTCTGGATACGACAGAACCACTGTAACTCATGAACTCACAGAAGCTCTGACTGCCTTCAGAAGACCTGCACAAGCTTAAGTCAGTCAACAGTCTAGAACGGAGGGGGAAGGGGCTCTCTGCTCCCCATCCCTGAGGAGCTAGTGGCCGCTGAAGACAACTACTAGGAGAGGGAGAATCGGCCTTCTTTAAGGGTGTGGCCTCCAGTGGGTCGACCACGCTTCGCTGGATTGTTCCGCACACAGGAGTATGTGGACAGCACAAATTGGGCTTGACAGGGTGCAAAACACAGTAATAACAAAGAGGACACGAGGTTGGGGAGGTTAGGAATTAGGGGCGGGTTTGGGAGGAATTAGGAAGAGGAATAAGGGGTTAATACGATCAAAACATGTTGTATGGAATTGTCAAAGAATTAATAAAAATATTTTCTTTTTTAAAAAGTGTATAAAAAATTCAGAACACAAGCAAGCCTGTGGTTGAAGTCGGCGGATGGCTTCCCAACGCCCACCCTCTCACTTTTCAACAGTAGTAGAAATTAGCCATACAAATGGTTGGCCAGCTGAAGACGACATTTCCAGTTCTTCTCCCAGTTAGGTGTCACACTCGCATGACGGGGTTCTGTCAGAAATGAGGAATAAAACCCTGGATCATAGCCTTCAAAGCAAGAGAGTTCCGCGCCCCTTCTCTTTCCTTCCTTCCGGTTGGCTGGGCATTGCTGTTTTTGACCAGGACAAGGAGACAGTGAAATGGAAGAAATCAGCGTCTCTCACACATTGAGCTTTTGCAGCCCCCCCCCCCGCCCCCGGCGCTCGCCCCATTACCTACCCAGACATCATGTTTGGGCAAAATGAGTTTCTGTCTCATTCAGGCCATAGCGGTTTACCTAGCTGCAGCCTAAGGCAACTGTCAACACCTTCTGAGCATGCTGTGCGCCCCATTCACACCCACATCTCATTAGAAGAGGCCGGGTGTGACCACCAGCCGCGCTGGTCATCCCAGCTACTCAGGAGGCTGAAGCAGGAGGATCACAAGTTCAAGGCTACATAGCAAGGTCTTGTCTCAAAATAAAAAGCAAACAAGGAACTGAAGATAAAGCTCAGCAGTAGAGAGCAAGGCTCTAGGTTCAAAGTCTGGTAGCAAAATAAATAAAATACCAGGCATGTAAATTGCAAGTGTTGCCATTCCCCCCACACCTGCCTCTGTCTCCTGAGTGCTGGGACTAAAGCCATGTGTCACCACCACCTGGCTGCTAAATTTTTCTGCAAAAGGCCAGGTAATAAGACTTTGTAAGTCCTCACCTCTGTTAGAATAAACACGGCTATACTCACAGATCTGAAATTTAAATTTTGTAAATTCAAACAATCATAAACATTGTTCTTCTTTTGATTTTTTTCTCAATAATTAAAAAACGAAAAAAAAAATCATACTTCCGTACTGGGCTGCGGGAAACGAGATGGTGGGGCTGGCTTTCAGGCGCAAGTTCCTCAAAACAGTGTGAGGTAGAATGCATCTGCTGATCCATGTTGCTCAATCCAAGAGTCTGGAAAGTAGTTTCCTGCTTGTCTTATGCCTTAGAAAGATGCATACAGATCAGAGCCAGGACGTGAAGAGCAGCAAGTGGCTCCCCTTTGTTGGTTGGGCAATAGAACATGTTTATGACAGTCCAAATGGTGCATTGTGAGGTAAGGGACTGGTGACCTTCCATTATGTGGCAATCAGCCTTCTCAACCGTTCAGTGAAGCTTAGATTTTTCTTACTCCATTAAGGGCGTGTCTAAAAAACAGCCACCGTAATGAGTATCAAATAGTTTGAAAAACAGACATTTAGGTTTCAAACATTCAGTTCCCCCTTTGACAATATTTCTAAGGTCTGTTTTGTTTGTCTGTTTTTGTTTATTTTAAAACCTCACTGTCTGATCACGCAGGGAGGGTTAGCTAAGTCACTGTGTGAAGGGGCCACATCCCTCCGTGGTGCTTGAGTGTTTTCTGATTGGTCCGTGCATCTCCTTGATTTTTTTTTAATAAAAGGTCGAAGCGTAGGCACACAGGAACAGAGTAGCATCTAGCACTCAGTAGACAACCCAGCTCGGCCACGGTCCAAGCGAGCGAGACGTCGCCACAGAAACGTGAGCAAAGGCTGGGGAGGAAGGCCAGTCCTGGAGCCCCAATAGGAAAACCACAGCGGCAGAAGACCAGGGTCCGAAAGCGCCATAGGCTGCACGACCCGTCCCGGGCGCCCCAGTCTAGCTTGCTGAGGCCCCGCCCTCGGCCCCGCCCTCGGCCTCCGGCTCTCTGAGGCCCCGCCCCGGCCTCGCCCTAGAGCTCGCTGAGGCCCCGCCCCGGCCTCGCCCTCGAGCTCGCTGCGGCCCCGCCCCCGCCCTCGAGCTCGCTGCGGCCCCGCCCCCGCCCCGCCCCCGCCCGCGAGCTCGCCGCGGCCCCGCCCCCGCCCCGCCCCGCCCCCGCCCCGCCCCGCCCCCCGCGGCCCGCCCCGCCCCCCGCGGCCCGCCGCTACGAGAGTCCCACCGGCGGAGCTGGCCCGGGGCGCTGTGCCCTCGCTCGGCTCTCTCCGCCCCCCGCGCTGGCCGCGGGCTGCGCTGGGTCGCGGCGGGCCCCGCAGGCGGCCATGGCGGCGGGCGCCGGGGCCAGGCCGGCGCCGCGCTGGGTGAAGGCGCTGGGTGAGCCGCTGAGCGCCGCGCAGCTGCGGCGGCTGGAGGAGCACCGCTACACCGCGGTGGGAGAGTCGCTGTTCGAGCCGCCGCTGCAGCTTTACTGGACCTGGCTGCTCCAATGGATCCCGCTCTGGATGGCCCCCAACACCATCACCCTCATCGGCCTCGCCGTCAACCTGGTCACCACCCTAGTGCTCATCTTTTACTGCCCTACGGTCACGGAGGAGGTAGGTAGGGCCGGCCGCCCACCGGTGTTCCCTCGGAACCCTCGGGCCTCCTTCCCCGTCGGCCCCACGATAGGCGTCGGGGCCGAGGGGAGACCCTTTGTTGGCGGAGCATCCTCCGGGTCTCGGAGGGAGGTGCGGACACGACCAGACCGCTGTCCCGTGGCGGTGTTCACTTTTAGCTTCCCCGGGGCTCCTAGAGACTGTCGGGCCGCCACCCCAATCTTGTGACCGTGCTGAGCTTCCCTGGAGGGGGCTGTCAAGGTCACTGCCCCAGACCTGTGTCTGCCCACTTCGTCCCCGGGGCCATGGGCCGACTGGAAGGTTGACTGTGAGGACCAGCAGCCTGTACTTTGCACACTGGGGATTAAACACCCGCATCTCCATTCTGTCAGGACTTGTGGATGGGTTGGGTAAGCCCAAGATGCCCTTTGGTACTTCATAATCTTGTGTTTCTCCAAGGTGGTGCCTAGTGATCCTGAAATTACCCGTAGCATAACTGATGAAGTTACTTCTGGACGTTAACTTCCTCTTTGGTTCACTGACTTTTTCATGAAAATCAAACAAGATATAGGTGATAGTCCTCACAGTTATCCAGACTTAGAGATTATAAAAGCCAACCCATTTTATTAGTTGTGATTATATCTAACCCATGTGTAAAGTAAGAATAATAAGTAATGTGGGCTTTGGACGGTGGTGGTAAGACGTGGTTCCTTGGGCTGAGTGTCGAGGGCACAATAGCACGGCGAAAGTGCCTTGATACGCTCTAGGGGGTGCATATTGCATGCAGATTCTGTGCCATTACTTTCTTTAATCTCCCTCCACAATTACATGTAAACATAGATCGTGCCCAAAAGTGAGAGTTGAAGTTACAATAACAGTAACCGGAGTACAAGAGAAATAGTTCATGCTCTGCATCCATGCAAATACTTTTTTTAAGGGCTTAGTGGAGGCTGCAGTTTTAACACATCTTGCCTGCTAGTGACTGACTGTGTTCTCCTATCTGCCTTAGCAGACATTCCATTGTTATTTGTTTTCATGTAATTTGAAAAGACTAAGCTGTTTGGGGTTTGGGATTCTGGTGATTCTGGAACCCCCCAGAAAGCACCATATCATGATGAAGGATGGCAGGCTTGCAAGTGAAGGACTTGGCTTCCCATCAGCCTCCGCCCCGGCAGACCTATCAGGTCTGTTTTCCCATGTTGAAAATAGAAATAATGCCTGCCGGGCCAATTTCACAAAGGCGGCAGTGAGGACCGGATGATACATGCAGATAAATGTAGGACACTGCACTTTACTCAATAAATTAAAACTATCCCTCAACATATTAAAAATGCACTGTTGTTAAACAGTGTCGTGAAGCGTGGGAAGTGAAATTTGGCTTTGAGTTGGGCGTTGATTTGGCTGACAGTCTTGGATGTTTCTGGTATTGGTCAGCTAAGCCATGAACTTTGATGTTATTTACCGTCCGTTTGCTGAGCACTTAGAAGAATGGACAAAGAAGTCTGAGGGCTCTTGTGTAGGGTTGAAGGGGGGCGGGCTATGGATGAGATAAGTTTGTGATTAACTTATAGGCTCAGACTCATTTTTAAAAGAGGATGTGATGGGGTCTGAGGCACATAAAAATGTGCAAAGCCAGAATGGCCCAGGTAAGAGAGCTAAGGGGTGAATGAGAGATAAACTAACTATGAGGGATTGTGAAGTGCATGCCATTGGATCCTGCATTTGCCTCTAAGTGGTCAAAGTAAGAGGAGGAAGAGCAGGAGCCACTTTGTTTTTTAATTACGATGCAAATAATAAAGTGTTTTAACCACAGTTTCGGGCTGGAGAGATAGCTCAGAGGTTAAGAGCACTGACTGCTCTTCTAGAGGTCCTGAGTTCAATTTCCAGCACCCACATGGTGGCTCACAACCATCTGTAATGAGATCTGGTGCCCTCTTCTGTATACATAATAAATAAATCTTTAAAAAACAAAACAAGCCGGGCGGTGGTGGCGCACGCCTTTAATCCCAGCACTCGGGAGACAGAGCCAGGCAGATCTCTGTGAGTTCGAGGCCAGCCTGGACTACCAAGTGAGTTCCAGGAAAGGCGCAAAGCTACACAGAGAGACCCTGTCTCGAAAAACCAAAAAAACAAAACGAAACAAAACAAACAAACAAACAAAAACCCCATAGTTTCTGGCTATTTTTGCCTTAATAAAAGACCCAGCTCCATAAAATTCAGATCCACTTTGGTCCGACTGCGAAGTGTACATCCTTTTTGTTGCCTGTGTGACATGGAGGAAAACACTGGCATTTTATATGACGCCAGTGTGTGAAGGGCCTTCACATTGGTTGCAGTTTTTACCTTTACCAACCTGAAGAGACCAATGAGTTTTCCCTTCCTAGGGTGCCCTTCCTACCATCTCAGAATTCCTTCCTGCCAGCCTGAAGTCACTGGTATATATTTTCATAAGGGAAAATTGAGGTCGACAAAGATTAAACGACCTAGCTTGGAAGTTTCTGCTTCTTAGACTTGAAGATTCATAGTGCTTTTTCACACGCTGTGTACATGCTGCACTGGGGCCTTGAACATGTTAGGCAGGAAAGCTCTGCTGCTGATCAGCACTTTTTAATTTTTTTTTTCCCCCCAATTTTGAGATAGGGCTCACTTAGCTGCTCGGGCCAACCTGAAGCTCAGTAGCCATGCACTTATTTCTAGGACGTGATTGGGAGTGAAGGAAGCTAGTTGAAAAGGCTGTGATTGACGGTTTCTGTAATGGTTCTCCATTATAGAGTGGTACTTTACAGACAACCCTTTCCATCCTTTCTGCTCAGGGATCTTCCCTGTACTCTAGCTGAACAATTTGCCATGGCAGGAATATTTCTTTTCATTACCCTTCCTTCTTCACATATCCAGTTACCTACCTGTCTTTCAGTGCTCAATTTTAATACCATCTCCCCTAACACTACCACCCCGTGGACTTGTTTCTGCCTTCTGAGTCAAATCAGTTGCTTAGTCCTCTGAACTCCCACAATAACGAGGGTTGTGTACAGCCCGTTAACTGCATACCAGGCACTTCTGTTATTATTGGAATTTTCCCAGGGGCCTGCCCTGAGAAGATTTCTCCCAGAATCCTGGGGAAGATGCTATGATTGGCATGGGATCATCTGAGGGGAAAGAATCTATGTACACCATGCTCTTCCATCCGCCTGTCCATTTTATTTCTCTAAGACAAAATTTTATCTACACAGTTTCAGTTCCAATCTGACACTCAGTTCCTCTCTGTCCCTTCTCTTCCTGTCCTCTCATAGCCCTAACTAAGCTCTTATCTTTGTCCTCCGTTCCTCCGTCTCCCATTTTTCCTTCCTCTCCTGCTCTCTTGACCTGATTCAAATCCACCTAACCATCTGCAAAAACTTTTCCTTTGCGGCTTTTTCCTCAGGCCGACCCACTCTCACCCCAACCCAGAGTCAGGAATTCTCCCCAGTCTTCCCTCCACCTGGTTATGCAAAAAACCCTTTTATTCTGAGTCAGTAGCTCTATATTGCTACTAGGCTTGTGAGAGAAAGGGATGGTCTGAGCTTCATATGCACAAGAAATAAAGCTATGCATTTACACGTCCTCCTGTCTCCTAGGAGACAGGCATTGTCTCTGTAGGGGTGTTACCTAGTACAGATCAGCAGTAGGTCTGAGAGACTTATACTGTTTGCCCTTATGGCCTAGGAGTTATGGGCACACAAGAAATTGATAGTAAGAAACAGCTGATATATTAAAAGCCGAATAATATCAAATATTCCTTGATATTTGACTTCTCTTCCAGAAAGATTCCGTGACCCTTCTAGGTATAGCTTTATCGTATACAGCTGAATCTCTGTTTCATGTTCTTGCGGCCTGGAGCATGTTATGTTCTCTTATTGAGTCCTGTCAGCATTGTCTTCATGAAGAAGACAGTGGATATCCCCACTTCATAGACGTGGGAAGTGAAGAGAAATTGTCTCCTTGGATTAAGTAAGCGGGAACTAGGATTCCACACCAGAAAAAAAGCCATGCTTCTGCTGCTGTGGGCCTCTGTAGCGCTCCAGGAGAAAGTCTCCATTTCTTGTTGTTGTTAACATGTCTTCCTATTGAGCAGGACAGCCTGTTAGAGTTCAGTTCAGAGCACAGTGTCTTGCCATAGTGTTTGCCTAAGTGAGTGCACGGTGACACACACAGTGTCATCTTGAGAGATGATGTTCTTGAACTCTCACTCCGTTTTAGCTGTTTCTGTTGTTTGGCCTGAGAGTAAGCAAATGTTAGGGTAAACGTGTAGAAGCCCTCCCCTCCCCTGGACGGAGCATTTACCACTCTTGAGTATACAATCCTTGGGCTCCAGTCCTTGGCTGTCTCTTCCTAAAGTAACGTCATAGTTTCTGAGAACATAAACAAGGCCTACTTAATGCAGTTCCTAAGTGTGTATGTGTGATAACTTGGTGGTTCAAAGCTAGCTTCAGCCTTCTAGGGTTACCAGAATGAAACATCCTTGCTTCTGGCCACTGAGATACCAGTATTCAGGAGAATGAGCACTGGTAGAAAGGAATCAGGTTTATGCACAGCCAGCCCTGAAGGATCTAGAAGAGCTGGTTCTTTGAAGCTCTGTTTTCCTTGTTGGGGAATTTCTGTGGGTGAGAAGGAGGCAGTGAGGCTGGGCTTTAGGCAGAGTCTTGTTCTCCAGAGCAGTGTGGTGGACTTGTACCTTCCCTTGTGAAGAGTGCTATAAACGCCATCTGGGTTCTGGAACTCTAAAGAAAGAGTTATCAGTTAACATATGGATGGGGCTTCTTTTTAGCCAGAGGTACAAAAGGGCAGAGAGGGTGGGGAGCCCCAGCTGCAGTGGCATTCTCTTATTGATTTAACTTTTATTTTATGAGCATTGGTGAGAAGGTGTCAGACCCCCAGAACTGGGGTTACAGACAGTTTGAGCTGCCATGTGGGTGCTGGGAACTGAACCTGGGTCCTCTGGAAGAGCAGCTGGTGCTCTTAAC